TCCCACTCAAGTTGCCTTATTTGCTTTTGGTGAAAGGAAATTACAGACTTTTTTCCCCCCTCTTGACAGCCTGACTTTGTACAGAAAGAAGACGGGAGAGAAGCACATGCAGTATTCATTTCAGACAATAGTAGGAATCATGCCACTGGGGTTTGTTGACTAGATAAAGTGCTATGTGGAACACAGCTAAGACAGGAATACAGCTGATCGGCACAGCACAGAGCCACTACCATACATATATAAATAAGCACAGGAGAAGTAAAACATTGCCCTCTTCTGCCCCCCACCCCCAGCAAACAGTTGTTTTTAAAAGGTATTAGTCACAAGGATTTAGCAGAGCAAACTTTTGTCCTGTGTAACATCAGTATCTTTCTTCCTCTGAGAACAAACTTCTGATCTGCCACATAATCCATAGCAGAAACTGCCTAGACTATTTTAGCATTGTTTGACTACACTTTGGAGCTTAGCTTTATAGCAGATTATAGCCTGATAAAACCACTGGATATTTTTATGTATGACCATCTTTTTTTTTTTTTTTTTATACTTTAGTTAGTGAAAAGTTACTTTTGAAAGGAAGACTAAATCAGAAGCCAGAGACTCCAAAAGTGGTTTTTCTGAAGGAAACACTCATCTTTGATATTACTACTGTCATATATAAAGGAGGAAATGCCCTGATGAAAGAAAAAATATGCCCACACTACTCCTCTAACAGACACATGCATTGAACTGTAAAGTGAAAGCCAAGCTGTTCTCTTTTTTGCCTTAGAAAGGGAATTAATGAAAAATCTTGTGCTAATACATCTGATTTGAACAAATTTTCCTACAAGCTTGCCAGGCAGGATAGAAGCATACTAACTACAACTTGAGAGAAACAGATGATAAACTCTTAACAAACATATTAAATTTCAGAAAATGCAAAAGCCATAAAAAATGTATAATTTTTCTGCTAGTTGTTGGCCACGCACCAGCAGCTGCTGGATTAAGCATTTAGCAATCATGTCAAAGATAACAGGGGTTAGCTCTGATAAAAATCTCTGAAGCTACCCAAGTATTTTCTTTTTTGGGGGTTGTATTCCCTCCTCCCTCGCCCCCAATACCCTTTTATCCTACTAAATTTCATTCTAAATCTCAAATGCATTCATCACCTTAGCAACAACATGCAACATTTCAATGCATAAAAATAAATTAGTAAAATCTGCCTCTTTTCCTCGAGGATTCCTAAGCTGTTGTGCACAGTAGAAGAAAGATGTAAAGAATTTACTCCAGCTATAAAAACCTATGACCAAGCCAGGCAGTAACTAGCGAAGTTTAACACCTGGGAGTTATAAAGTATTTTGAATGTAGACTACAAGAACAAAAATATGCAAGACATTGAACTGCTTAAGAAGCAGTGCAAGTAAAGAGCGGGCGAGTTTTGTGAAACATGACTGAGGCATAACCAAGCTCTCACCTTCTGCAGAAATGTTACGGAAGGCTGGTACGCAGAGGAGGATGCCAGGTGCCATCCTAAATATGCTCTAAAGGAGATTATGAACCTTGTGTCAGTTATCACTTGCAAACAGAGGTCAGATCAAGGTCAAGGAAAACAATTCAAGCTGTACTCTGGGTCTGCCCTAGACTTAGTCAGCTGCCCATTCTTAAATGGCATCTCAACTTCACAAATCTAGTATGGCCTACCTCTTCTGGTAAGACAGTCTGAATTGACAGCATGAGAGGATTTCTTCAGAAATACAGAGTATTCCTACTTCAAAATGAGAAGTCTTACAATAACGAAAGCCTTGACTGATTGGGCAAAACATATCACATTTTTGGTACCTGTGACATGTTCACCTTTTCAGATATAATCAGAGTTCATTAAATAAATTGCAGAAACAAGACTATTTGTGAAATGATAGATATCTTTAGTGTCCAAGGACAAGGCCTACGGTGCATTAAAAATTCAAAAGGATATTTGCTTTACTGACTAGAGAATAATTATGTGCTGTTTAACAGCTGCGTGTTTTGAATAACTAAATTATAATACACTTCCCAAATAATGTCTCGTCTAGTCATTTCTAAGGTATTAAACTGTCAGCTTACTTTTCTCGAAAATGTGTTTCTAAAGGACACACTCATTCACAGTTGTTTAAACCTGGCAGTTCTTAGTTCTATTTTCTCTTCAATATGTAAGACAACAACCTGCAACATAGGCCAAAATAAAGTTCATTAAAAAATAATTAATCTGTCTGTTCAGGTAGCTAATGAAGTCAAATTTCACAACCCTCCAGAGGAGCTACTCTCTAGCAAGTTTCCTAAACTGGTATTTAACCAAAAAGATCACCTTGTACTGACTCCCAGTTTTCCACATGCATAAAGTTAAGTCACAACATCTTTCTCTTCTCATCCCCCTTCTATCATCTAGTCATCTAGTTAGAATTATTAAAAAAACAAACCAAAAAACAAACCAAAAAACAAACCAAAAAACAAACCAAAAACAAACCAAAAACAAACCAAAAACAAACCAAAAAACAAACCAAAAAACAAACCAAAAAACAAACCAAAAAACAAACCAAAAAACAAACCAAAAAACAAACCAAAAAACAAACCAAAAAACAAACCAAAAAACAAACCAAAAAACAAACCAAAAAACAAACCAAAAAACAAACCAAAAAACAAACCAAAAAACAAACCAAAAAAACAAACCAAAAAAACAAACCAAAAAAACAAACCAAAAAACAAACCAAAAAAACAAACCAAAAAAAAAAAAAAAAAAAAAACAAACCAAAAAAACAAACAAAAAAAAAAAAAAACAAACCAAAAAAAAAAAAACACACACAAAAAAACTTTTTAATCCTGCTCATCAGTTTCCTATATTTTCCCATAAAACCTCAACCCGAGGGCTAAGAAACTTCCACATCCAAGAGATATAGCTGAATCTGCAAAAGAAGGGCTATCAGTAGAAACCATTTTGGAATCTTAACTGCAGCTACTGCTATCAGATCAGCAGAAAAATATTAAGTTTCTTATAAGAAAATTGCTGTGAATAGCTAATATTAGTAGATGTTACTACAAATACTAAAATAACTGAGAGTAAATGTAGAGGAGTAAAAATAATTCCAATGGAACCTACTAAAAATAGAACTACACAATTTCAAAATATGCATGTATTAGAAAAGAATAAAGCACATACTACAAATGGCCTTATCTTTATACAGAACGGATGCTAAAACTTTAATCATAACAATTCAAAGCAACTTAACACTAAGAATTTGGTCCTTCTCCTTCATGAAACAAGAATATAATTCCACAGATAAATTATTCCTGGTTATTCTTAAATGCCTCATCTATATTGTGTTTGGAGTTGCTCTTCTGTTGGGGTTTTACTGGAGTTTTTTTAGTATTTGTGAGCCTTAGTAAGGAGCGTCTATTCATAAAATGGGGGAAATGACCTATAGTTCCTAATTATGACAGTCTGAAATCTGTAAAACCCATAACAGTTAAAACTTTAAACCCACAAAGTAGCACAAAACCAAAACCTAGGAACCATCAAATTAGCTTACTGATATTTCTATCTATAAACTTCATGAATGCAAATAAAACTTCTGTGCCATGAAAAATTATCTTAGAAATTATTCTGTCTGGCTTCTCTCAAGTTGCTTTTCTAGCCTTTCAGGTAAATCACAGGCACACAAATTCTATTTGCTAACATACTGCACATTCAGGAAAAAGCATAATATAGCCTCTAATTTACCAAGCGTTACTTATATATGTGCTAAATATGCTTTTCATTACAGGCAGCAAAATAAAAATCAGTGCTCGAATTTCAGTTTGTATTAGCTTAATCTACGAATTACTATTCAAAAGAATAACCAATTGTGTTGCACCACTTCTTCCTCCCAGCTCCTTCCTCAAACTCTAAAATAAAAAAAATCTTATATAATAACTCTTCTCCTAAATACCTGAGCTTGTTCCCAATATGAGTTCCTGAATCAACTGCACTACAAGTAAGATCAGGCCCTAAATTCTAGATTTAAAAAATTTACAAAGATGCAATTTAAAATATTATCTCCTTTCCTTCTTTGGTTCATTTGTAGCCTTCAGAGAATTCCAAAATACATATATTCACCTCCAAGAGGAGCCAATATCCTTGTGCTACAACTGTAAATATTTCCTTTTTCTATTTACTCCTTGTAAGTGACAGCTTCTGTTACGATTTTGGCCTAAAACAGTAGTCAAAATGTCAGTTATATAAGGCCATACGTGGAGGCACAGGCAGTCTAAAAAATATTGCTGTTGAATTAATCACGGCAAAAAGAAAGGATGTCCAGTTTGACATACTTATTTACATAAAGACTAACGTGTATACCCCCCCGAAATTCTTCTCCCATCCTTCCTCCTTTGCTAGAGTCAGCCAGAAGTAGTCATTCACGCCGCCTGCAAAATTTCATAACCGACAAGATCGCCAGTACCCTAAAAATAACAAGAAATTAAAAGCCACAGAAAATAACAAAGCCTTACTTTTACATTTGCACCAGCGCTCGCCTAAAGTACAAAACAATCCTCGCGCGTCGCAGAAACCCATTCCTCGGCGACACTTCACTTGTTAACACCGGCCTGCAAATAATTTTAGCAGCGACCCCACCCACACAAAAAAAGTTTACAGTTTTCGGAAGGCTGACACAACCCTGCGCCGTGTTGCGCAAAGGCCGTTCCCACACTCACGCCGAGCCCCCGCCGCCCCGCAACCTCCGGGCGGAGACATTTTCCCTCCCCGCGCAGCGCCCGGCCGCCCACAACAGACCCGCGCCTCACACAACTTCCACGTTCCCCGCCACCTCCAGCCCAGGCCGTCCCTCCCTCAGGCTGAGGGGAAGGTCACGGCGGCCGCCGCCGCCCACCTGGCAAAAGTTTGCGGCCCCCCCCCCCCCGCCCCCCCCGCCCCCCCCGCCGCCATGGCCGGTGGCGGCGCGGCGGGAGGGGGCGTCCGGGGGCCGCGGCGCGGCGGGCGGGAAGGGCCCTACCTTTCTTGGCTTTCGGGGAGTGCCGCCGGCTCCGGGCGCTGGCTCGTTCTTCCTCAATAGCGGCGGCTATCTCCGGGTCGTCCTCCCCATTGTACCACACCAACAGCTCCTCGCCGGGCGCGATTGGCTGCCGGGAGAGAAGAGAGAGAGGGCGCGGCGCCAATCAGGCGGCGGTTTGTTGGCGGCGGGCCGCGGGGCGGGGAGCGGCGGCGCCGACGGCGGCTGCCCCGCGGCGCCCCGCGCGCGCGCGCGCGCGAGGGAGAGAGAGGGGTGGCGCCGCCCCGCGCCCCCTGCCGGCCGGGAGGGCGCGCAGCCTGGGCACGCGCCGAGCTCCGCCCCCCACCCCCCCCACCCTCCACCGCCGCCCCGGGAGCCAGGAGGGTGCCCCGCCACCGACAAACCGGCCTGGCGAACTAATTCACCCCGATAAAACACAATCCTTGAGTAATTCAACCTTTTCAAGCTTGAATTTTTACCCGAATTTTGATTCGTCTCCAATCGTGAGGTTGGTTCAGCTGCACGCAGGCTGAACCCCCAGCAATGAACCCCCCCCCGGTGCTTACTGCTATTTACAGTTCGATTCTTTTCAGTTTGCTATCAGCATTACACACACCGACCTTACACAAAGCGTTAAATAATGAGTAAAACGGTTCAGCCATCCACTGAGGTTGGAATTTGGAACAAAATCTAAAGATACAGGAAAAGACTGCCGCAGTGAGTTAAAGGGAACACAGAGGAAAACACGTAATTACTACACGTTTAACAAATCCACTTAATCACAATAATGAAAGATTTGTTTGCCATTCCAATTTTATTATTTCTGATTTTTTTAATCCAACCAAAAACTTCAAAGGAAAGACCAAATTAGCCAAGTAGGCGTCACTGCAATTACGACACGTATTCCCAGCACTGTCAGCAAACTGACCAATACTCGTTTCCCTGACTATTTCACATGCTCCTTAAAACATGATCGGACTCAAACCAGTAAGTGCCCAAGTTTGCAGGCTAAAGATGCATTTGTACCTATTTTTTACATCTTCATATCATCATTTCCTGAAGCATTTTATCCAAAACCAAGAAAAATCAACTTAAACACCTTCCTTTACCTTAACTACAATCCCCCTTTTTTCCAGCGCTTAATGAGCACTGGGCTCGTGGAGATAAGATACTAATTTTAGAGTCATTACGTTAGAGCAAAGGGTATCCTTACACTACTATTTCAAGTCTAAAGCCAAAGGGGATTTTTGTATCAAGAACAATAGTAATATTTGTTTCTTCTAAAGCACTTTTTTTTTTTTTTTTTTCCCCCCAGGTCTCACAGCACTTGATAAATGTGATAGTTATCTTTATACCCCCAGACACTGGACCAACGAGAGATGCAAGATCCCAACAACCATGTTAAGTGCTTAAATTATAACATAAGTAAAGCCTACAGTTTGGCTTCCTCAACAGTCTGGAGGCCTGATAGGTTTACCACTATTTATCCTATTTGCATGATCCCATTTTGCAAGTGTTTAGCAGCAAGAAATGAAGAAGAGTTGTCTGATGCAAACAACTTATCATCTAAACAATATACAAACTCAGAAAAGAGCTGGCAAAAATTTTAGGCAATGCAAACACAGGAGGATAACGAGCATATAATTTGTTAGCTGCATGGCTGGAACTAACATTCAACTCAATGAATGTAGTTTTCGTGTAACTAATTTAGAATGTAAATTAAGCCCTCTAACCTTGTACTTCTAAAATGAGATGCAGCAGCAGCTTTAACCCAGACAATTAAAACAGCTCCCTCACTACCAACACGAGCAAGAAAAGGACTTCACTGACCAAGTGCCACTTTTGCCGCTGCTCTCATACTGATGACACCCTCTAGTAGCAACTCAAACCCAACTTTCTCCAAACTATTACCTACAGATGGTTTGTGCAGTACCGTCAGCTTAGGATAGCTTGGTTAAAAAAAAAGGAATGCATTTTGGAAAGGCTCACTAGGTTAATAACTCTCCCATGCTTTTTGGTCCTTTATAACATTTAGCATTCCTTAATCTGAACATATTCTGTTCAAAAGGTTTAAAGTAATTTCAAAATTTGTTATTTTCAAGAGTACTACCCTAACAAGTTATATCCTAAGAAGTTCTAGCATCACTAATTCAACCTGCTGTACATGTACAAGCACTGCAACGTGTCTCGTACAGACTGAGACAGCCATTTGTCTGTCTCGTATCAGCTTATATATCTTTCACCAGACACTGCATTTTACTGTGATGTTGTGCTTTTGTATCTGGATGTGGCCTTATCTCCCCCCATGTAACCACAGTGGACAGTTTGTGGCATTAGTACTTGTGTGCATTTTTCACTCTGTACAACCCTACGTTACCTTGTGTTCCTATGTAACAAGGAGGTTCTTGAGTTATTATAAACCTGTTTGACAAAACATTCTTCCAGAAACAAATTAATTTCACCTTAATCAAGGACAATCTCACAGCCAAGCTTATTTAGAAGACTTTTTGAAACTGAGTTTTCACTGTAATTTCACTTCAAGAATTACAAAGGCCCGGACTATGTGCAGAATAACACTATTAAACCACCTCGTTTCATTAGGAGAGGCAGCAAGAACTTCTGAAACCCCATAATGAGTTTAAGTTGTTTCAACGAAATATCATAATTCTCACATATGCATCCTGAGGAAAGCATATGCAAAGCAGCCTACAAATATCCTCAGTCCTTCAGTAAAGATGAACAGAAGATGGAAGAGAAAAATATTTGCTTGTGCTCACTTAAAAGTTCTATGCTATTACTATTCATTTACAGCAGAGAACAGGGAAGTTAAAGCTCTGTGCAGTTTTGAGGTTCTTTTACACCAAGCAAATTTGGACTTTGCTTATCTTAGCAATGAAGCCTGGAAATCAGCCTGTTTAACTTACAAAGTAAAAACCCACAAAAAGCTGAAGAAAACCTTGGGGAAAAAAAAATAAATAGCCATGACAATATTTTACATGCTTCAAGGTAAAGCAGAATAAAATGGCATACAAGCCACTCCAATTCTCCTTTGGGATAAATAAAAAATGTGCTATTTATCACTGAATGGATTTCTCCTAAATTTACGAATTATGATAAAGATCAGGAAGGAACCATGTGTACATACCTGGGCTGGTAAATTTACAACAGTTTTGAAATATATACCGTAACACATTAAACGCAGAAAGAGAAGGATGTTTAAGGTGTTATTTGTTACAATTTCTTTTGTCTCGGTTATCAGTAAGGCGTGATGTGAATCTAAGACTGAATCGGATTCTATAAGAACATTATCATCTCTGGTACAGAAGGTGAGACAAAACCCAAGCCTTTAAATAATAAACAGACATAAAAGCAACCGTACTTCATAAAGAAAGCAGAACACAACACATTTTTTTTTCCCAAAATATGAATTTTCCCTACAGTTTCTAAAGTATAGGATAGTAAAAACTTATACAACAGACTATATTTAAATGCTTTAATGTAGTAATCTGCCCTTGAGACCACACATTCAAAATCTCCTCCTCTATATTATACTTCTCTTACACTGTCAGTTACTTGCAGCTTAACTTCCAATTGCTTCACACTAACTTTATTTTTAAATCCTGGTTACTATAAATTTGCTACTTTAAATAATGAAAAATCGATTTACAAAACACTAGACAAAACAAGATTTCTTAATGCCTTCCTTTGGTTTTCATATTCTTGGAATGGACAATAAAGTAAACAGAATATTGGATTTAAAATATTCCTATTAAAGTACAAGAATAGTGCACTTGTTCAATTAAAAAACACAAAATGTGACTTTCTAAATCTTGACCTGATTTATCAGAATGCTGACTGAATTGCTGAATGATTAATGGTAGTGAAAACTGTCCAATTTCTTGTCAAGCTTTCACTTCAAAAATCAACACAGATTAGCAAAATCAGCACTTTCCTTACATATCACCTCTCTAAAAGGTGGGAGAAGACAATAAAATATATTGAAATAAATGGATCAAAAAATAACTGGAATATCAGCATGCACTTTTAACAAGCATTCATTATTACAGATTTGTGAGCTTTTTTCTCCCAATATGGAAAAAAAAGTTAAACTTTACATTATAACCTAGTTTTGCACAGTGCAGCAACTCAGACATTTCTACAGCCATCTCTTAAATTACCTGCCAAGTTACCTGTGTCACAGATGTACTGACAATCAAGGAACAGCAGGAGCGCATCGCTGAGCCATAGTTGTAATGCTTCTTGGACTAACGTGCTCCTGGAAACACTTGGTTATTTTTGAGCAGCATGAAGCTGGGATTACTAATCCAAGCCATCCCAACCTGGCTCGTGCAGAACTAGTTCAAGCATGTCCGTACCGCGTTCTTGGAACTAAGTCTACAGAGCAGAAACAACTCGGTGGTTCTACGCCAGCTCAGGTCCCAGCACCCCACTTTGTGCGACATCCAACCCCAAAACTACTCAGAGCTGCTGCTTCTCCGCTGGCCTCTAAGGGGTACAGCAGCAAGCCTCTGCCCAGAGGCAGCCTGGAGGGAGTGCAGGTTCTGATGTAACACTCCCTCCAACTAGCACACGGCACCGACACCAACATGAATTTCCAGAAGCTTGCCTGGGACGGGTGTTGCCAACACCGAACTGAAGCTAACGAACAATCCCACAGCACACAGGGAAAGGCACAGCACACACAGATCTAAAGTGGTGGCTGCAGGGGCAAATAAAGCCTGCTGAAGACGGTTCTTTGCAGAATCCCTTCGCATCCCAAACTCAAAATCTCACACTGCAACAAATCCCAGACAGATTTTGAAACCAATAAAATTGATCCTTATAGGCTGCTCTAACAGTCTTCAGAAAGAGCTGCTTGGCACCATGAGCTTGTTGGCAAGACCTACTAGGATAAAATTCATCAGATCGCAAGAGAAGACAGTCAAAGGAACAAAAGGACATTTCAGATGCTGAGGCAAGGTACTTGTTATTCTGTCAGCAGTGCTCAGCCTCTTTTAGCAATACAATTATTTTCCAAAGTGCAGCATTATTCATCAGAAAACAAATTTGAAATATGTGAGTGCTTGTCTTTATCAGAACTAAAACTTTCACAGGAAAGATTCGATGAGAGAGAAATTTAAAATGTCAGAGTGATTCCAAAAGCACACTTACGTTAATGAACTAGTGTGACTATGGGCAAAGGCAGAGGCAACCCAAGATAAAGTGTCCATGGAAAACTGAACTGGCTACAGATTCACATTGGGAGCCTGCCCTCAGTGAATAAACAAGTGAAGAGAAGTCAATGGTCTGGCTGGCAATAGTGAACCTCTACTTGAATGGTATCTCAAAGCTATTAGAAAACTCAGAAAATGTTTATAAGTTTGATTTTTTTCAATCTAGTTTGAGTGACCTAAAATATAACAGTTTCACATATTGCTATACTGTCCTATACACTTCAAACCTGCATGGTATCAGCTCATTCTTCTATTAAGCGAAGATTGGTTACTTAGATGTGGTGATGGCCTTATAAGAAAACGTAAGAAACGGCAATAGTGTAGCAGCAAGGCTGCATATACCCAAAACCCACAAAAGCATTTTAAATAAAAACAAAGTCGAGCTATATATACTCATTGCTAGTAGGTTCTTGATCAGAGATTCAGATAATTTATAGCTACAACTTTCCAACACTAACATCCTCTACCATTACTTGCAGTTAAACCATTTTTTTTTCTTGGTTTGGGATACACAATGCCCCAGGAATTACACCCCTTTGCCTGCCCTTCCCTGAATAAAGCTAGGAAAATTTGTTTCATGAAGCTACCTATAGAAGTGTCTTGACAACCAAACTTTGTCATATGGTGCAAAGACACTAAAAATAACCAATTTCTGCAAAAATATCCCCATCAGGAACTGTCTCCGTATCTACATAAATAGAAAAATATTTATTTTATGTAATCTGCTATAGTTATTCATTCTAGTTTGTATCAGATTTGGTGCTACAACAAATCATTAACCAACAAGACAGACTTGGTGTTCATACATATGCTATATTTTAACAGTAGTTCATAATGTCAGCTGTACTGGCACAGAAGAATTTAGACCAATGACATGTAGCATTTGCAATATTTTAATTATATTTCATAAAATGTTTCAAGATCTGTTTAATACAAGTAGTAAGAAAATTGGTTTTGAATAAAGGGGAATTAAAAAAATATAATAATAAAAGGTAACAGAGCAGTAACTGATTCTTCAGACACTGATACCTTTAAACTTTTGTAGTATATGGTCCTGTTGATCTCCAGAGGAAAAAGGTTTTGCTCCTTTCCTGAACGTGCCCAGTTTATATACCGTAGCCAGTTCCCTTTCTCAGGATCAGTAGCATCAACACACATCCATCCCAAGTTTGGGTAATACACCTATGAGACAAAAGAGGCCTTAAGCAAATGGACAACTGTTACCATGGAAGTGCACATGCACTAAAACACTACACATTTTAATGATAGGAATCAAAGGTGCAATCATCATCTAAGGACAGAGATAACACAAAGGATCTGAGCAGAGCTAGCGGTTGTACTGGGAGGGAGTGTTGCTGGTGGTCTGCAAACTTTTTAGTGGAACTGGTACAATTGGAAAAAACTAACTCTTGGCCTTCAAGCCCTTCTCTGAAGGTTTGGGGCTGAAAAGCCAACATACTTAAAACATTTTATGCTTTCTTTTCAGTTTGGCAAGCCTGAAATAATTCTCTGTATTTTGCATTTAGTAAAATGACTGATTTTAAGATATAAAGGCAATGGAGCTTTATTTTTACTATCTGATGAACTGGAAAAGTAACTATATAGAAGTTAGAAGCATTTGCTTTATTTGGAAAGATAAAGGAAAGCATAATTTATATTTAATCTTTTCTCAGGATATTAAAGAAAATCTTAACCTTTCAGAAATCTTGTGATCACCTTAGAAAATTGACCATGTCAATAAGCTTCTGCATGTTCCAAAATGCTGTGTAAATTCTTTGGTTTCCGTTCTTGGAGAAAAAAAATTAACACTTAGTCCTATTTTACATTTCAAGACAGCTTGCAATAAAGCAAGGTTACTGACTTCTTCAGTATTTTTGGATGACAGGCAACTCTGCTTCTCCTTGAAGACATGTTATGCATCTCCCACTCTTCTTATTATAATCCAAATCAGATGCCTGTAAGAAGAGCTATCAGTGGATGCTATCCGTTTTTTTCCAAACCGAAGAACACACCACTGTTTGGCAACTGCAACTATCATTCTTCTATTACTTTGTCTCAGAACACAGTCATACTAACAGGTACACAATGTCTCAGAAGTATCAGACAGCTCACAGATTTTTAGAAAAACAAAAAAGGAAAAATATATGCAATTTGATTATATCTTATTATTTGCTTTTTTCCTTTTGTTCAAGTCTATAAATATCAGCCTCTGCCTGGAAGATCTCTTTTCAAACCCCAGCCTCCCTAGCCCATTACCTCCTGCAACATGCCCTTAGCACCGCTGCAGATAAGGAATAAAGTAAGATGCCAACTTCATCAAAACTTTCCCATTCTGGTACACAGTGTTGCAGCTTTTTATTGTTTCTGATATTTACTTTACAAGTAACTCTTCAAACTGTTTTACTTTTTGAAATTCAAGTGCACTTCTACAACAGCTTAAACCAAGAACCATATAATAAATTTTATTTCTTTGAGGTTTATATACTGTTGGTTGAATAAAATAGAATTTTATCATTAAAGTTTCAATAAATATACCAAAATCATCTTAGTTTCTCTTCAAGCAAACAGAAAACATCTCCCTTACTTAAACTATTCCAGCATGGATTTCATCAGCTGACTTTTGAAAGAATGTTCATCAGCACACCCAGCCCTTGCAATATAAAAGCGTAAACAGCTTCACAGACTAAGACTGTAAAAGCAATCCTTTTGGTTAAAACGAAAGAAAACAGCCAAACAATGCTGTGGAAGAGTTAACAAATATGGAATATATGGTAAAACATTATTACTTTTTTTATATATTACTTTATTATGTCTTTATATTTACTTTACTGTGGTTTTTGCACGAAACAAAATACTTTATTACTTTTCAGTTAAAGCTTCTAATTTACAGAATATTGTTTAAAGGCCTTGTGCAGTGTGAGAAAGGAAATAGCTCCAACTCCTCGATAGAACACTGCAACTAAGTGATTCCTGTAAACCACAATAAAGATCGTTCAGCACAGTTGTGCCAGTCATTCTGAATCGGCAGATGGCATTTCCCTCAGTTTTCAGCCACTTGCCGTCCTTTTCCTATCTGTGGCTTTTCTCTGGCAGAAAATGAAAATATGTTCAAGTCTCTATTTTTCTCCTCAGACACAACAAGTATACACTGACACACAACACTCATTCAGAATGATCCTCTAGCACAACAGTTCGAAATATTAACATTGACTGGAGATGCCAGCTTTTAGAAGCATTTTTCTTTAGATTAACTTCACTAAAGAAACAAATGGGATTCTTGTGGAAAAGGTTGTTCTCCTAGTTGGAGACCTGTATACCTAACTACTCCCACACACTACCATCCTTTTACAAACCATATCTTCTAACAGTTAAAATTCTGGAGTGGTTTCAGATATCAGCATATGGAGCCAACTGTTGCGGTCTCATTTTAGCTGCTTTTTTCTGATTCCAAAATCAGTATCAAAGCAACACACAATTACTTTTGAAATCTAGCAAGGGTTCCCATTATCGCCTGCATTGCGAACTATGAAACTTCTTAACAGCTTGCTTGTGACTATCATTTCTCAAAACATATTTTAAAAATATTAAAACATACCCACTGAGAACATTCAAAATCCAGCACTGAGAAAAACAATTGCAAGGTCAATAATTTACTTGACTGATTCAATCTCACTAAGTGTTCTTGTACCAGATCAAAATTGGAGATACCTTATGCAGTGGAGTTGGTGATAATATTAGCTCAGTGCAACAAACCTTATACTTCAATACATTATTACCTTCCTGAATGTAAATTTGCATTTATGGGAAACTCTTTTAGGTCAATTCCTCTTATAGGGGTTAACATTAAGTTTTGTACATGTATCCAGTATTTTATACAGTTCAATTTTTGCAAGCCAGAGGCCAGAAGGATGACTACTATCAGTATCTTTAGCCTACAAATCTGTAAACTAGCAAGTTTTCTTCCAGATCACTCTATGCCACCATTCCTCCATCCCTTTCCTCCTTGACCATTCATTTTGCTAAAGCCATTGCTGTACATGTCTTCACACAGAGCGAAGAAGTTTTTGGAAGTAGTTATGAACTGTCTTAAAGACAGCAGACAGGATGCAACACCAGATTAAGACACCTACATTTTGAAATGTACATAATATCCAAGGTCTTACGACTACCAGTGGAGTTTAGAGGTATTCAGCTGTCCAGACAATATTTGCTTTAAGGCAAGCCCAAACACAAGCAGCGCAAAAAATATTGCAACTGTTGTGAACTTTTACAAAAGCTCGGAAAGCAAAACCAACTCCCATAACAAAGCTGGGTTTCAAAGAGAATGCTGTGGCTTCCATGAGAGATTCCACATCCCCCTAATCTCCCTAATTTCATAAGCAGTTGACAGTACTCAACTGCAGAAGGGATATCACTCAGGGTTCAAAATAACAAAAAAAAGCTTTATCCGCAATAGATTCTTAAGGGAGATGTGATCCAGAGATAATATATAAGAAAATGAATACAGCAACTTCAAACAGTGCCAATAGTTTAAAGCCTTTTAATTCGTAACATTGCTCAACCCAAGTGTCTCTAAATAACTGTTTGCAATGGTACACATAGATAATTGGCTATTATTTCATATCAAGTCTATTTCTAAAATCTCTGGAAAAATTAAAGGCTAAATACAAAACATGTGACCTAGTGACAGATACCTTTTTCCATTTAGAAGCTGTTTCTTACCTCCCACATGTATACATTGCTCTTGACTTGAGATCTTTTTTTCTTGTCACCAATAAATGGTCCAAACTTCTTGCCTTTTAAAATTGACTTTGTTGCCCAGACACCTGAAGAGATACATATCAGCAGTTAAAACTAATCTTAACTAACCTCAAGAAAACCTTCTACTCATAATTCATATTTCTTAAGATCGTTACATGTGTCTGACTCAGACTGGGGAGCATTCTACAATATTAAGATCACAATACAAAAAATTGAAGTTTACTAAAATTAATTCAAATAATCCCCTCCCCAAAACTCACTTCAATCATGAAACCTTTAAGCATTTAACTGGTTTCAGTCTTTGCTCATGGGCTACTGTAGATCTGAATACAAAAAACAACCTCAATTTTTCTTGTCCTTCTGGTGATATTCAAAATACTAAAAAAGCACTATAGGTTTTATATTGTGAAGTCCCGGGTTTCAGCTGTTTTGCTGAGTAAACATGTTACTAAAACAAAAAACCTATTTGTTCTCTCTAAAACAGTGCCACGCAAATGAAGCCCTCACAAAAGTTGTAAAACTAATTAATAGTATATTTTGAAGGAAAAAACATTTAGGATTGGTTAAAATATGTGCATCTGCTCACAAGTTTATTGACAAGATTTAACTGAACTGGAAATGGACAGATGCATTTCACATTTTATAGCACAAAAACTAAGAACAGACTGACAAATAATTGCTAATTAAACATAGCATTCTCATTCCGACCACAGTAGAGCAGGTTCATACTAGAAAAGATTAACCTTGCACCAAGGAGCTTATAACCTGTTACTAACAGTTATGCATTTATTGTCAGGCTTTATTCCTCAAACTACCAGCTTTCAACATCAAGTATCCAGTCTGTAATTCTGACTTCCATCAATGTTCTCACACGTTAAACTGTGTTAAAAAAGAAGCCAAGCATTTTGTACATATTACAGAAACAACACTTTGCTGCATATAGCAGCTTTCAAGTCTGCAATTAATGTGTTCTTATAAATTAAGCTTTTCATATTGATTGGACACTGAGGTGCAGCATTCTAAAGAGGCAACACCAAGATAGTTGCAAAACACAAAACTGGTAAAGCGCTGTGGGTGAAAACAAACCAGTGAAGCAATCTATCAGTATTTTCATAACCTAATCTATTTGCATCTTGGTCCACATTTGACCTCAATTCTGACCCCAATTCTGACACTCCAGGAACATCATCTCGGGATGCTGGAGAAACTTAGAAGCTGTCTGCTCTTGGCAACAGAAACTGTTTCAGAAAAATGCACCAGACATCATCTCTACCCAGCGCAGGAGAGCATCAAACTTTCACAGCAACTGTAATTTATGTGAGCTGGTGTAAAAATCTTCATCCTCTTTTCACAGCTGTAGCACTTACCTAGCCGTGTCTTGTCAACAGCAGATGGGAAGAGCCTCACGTCCTCAGGAAGCCCCCTAAGCACATGCTCAGGTACATCATCCAAGGTCTCCACAGTGACAGTAGATTCAGTTGTGTTCTACAAGTCAAAAAGCCAGAAGGGCCACAACCATTAAAAGATAAAAACAATAGCACAACAGATGATCAACCCATGTGAGCTACAAAAACTCCTGACTTGAAATGAAAGTAAAATTTCAAAATTGCCATTTCAACTAGGGTCCCCTCCATCAACATGCTAATGTAAAAGGACCTTTTTATCAGAACATTCAAGTTTTCACTATTATTTTCATTATGCTTATTTATGCTTTATGGAGAGTTCTAAGACCACATTAGAGATGTATGTAAAACACTGATAACTAAAGTTGCTGTAAATATTCCTTTTGTTTAGTTAATGAATGCATTTTGATTACAAGTTGTATACAGTGAGTAAATCTAACTGTAAGGGTTTTCATGTATCTGTTAGGCCACTTGCCATTTCATTAAATTTTCCTTGGCCTCTTCTTAAAATCAAATTCAAAATTCTCCCTTGTGTTATTTGGAGAATAGAGCTAATGCTATTTTATTTTTCCTGTCTGAATACAACTTACCTGACAGCACTACTATATTTTACATAAAACAGAAAAGTACTGTGATTTTATACCTTGAAAAATATCTATATTTTTCAGAATATAGTTTCATGACAGTTCAGGCTTAGTGTTAAATCTTTGAAACCGCTCATTAATAAGGCAAACTCATCCATGGAGCAGTTTTCAGTTGCATTATTGTTACTGATCAGCTATGCCATGAGAAACAACATTTAACAAGTAATTAGGTCAGTAATAGCGTTGTTACATGCTACATTATGTTGAGACAACATTCCTTCGTGCCATTTCTGATTAAAGTTCTTCCAATTTTCAGGTAAAATTCACTGTAAAGTTGACCTACCTGCCTAGAAACAGTTCTAGAGTTTTAGTATCTATGAGTTACCACTCTAAAAGTCTCCAGTTCCTTAAACATTCTGTTGAAGCATTAGAATTACTCCGATTACACAACACAGTTGTAAATAATGTTTAATTCTCTTTTAAAAATCAACAACTCAAATTTTTCATAAAGGTATGTAGTGGGAAAACATACTAGCCCTTACATAACCTGTCTGGAAAGTTTAACTCAATTAAAAAAGTAAAGGAGGTCGATTTATTTTCCCTTTAAATTACAGACAGCTACAACAGATGTAATGTAACATTCAGACCCTAATCTTTTCTGAAAATAAGTCACAAAAAGTTTTCACTATTTTAAGTTTCAGCTGTATACTCGATCTCAAATATGATCGCTTCTGCTAGAAAATGTTTCTGACTACTTCTGAAAGACTAGTATCTTTAAGAGCAACACATGATGCTTTTAGTAGAAATCTTGGTCAGCTGCGTAGTTTTTGAATACCAAATAGACAGAAGATGAGAGAAGTTGTTAGAAGTGTTTCAGGACACGTAAATAATTTGTCCAAATTATACTGTTGAAACATGTTACTGGCAATTAAAGTGACAAGAGGCAAGTGAACTGCCATGCTAAAATACACTTATTTGATTAAAACAGTATGCAGCAAAACAGACAGAACACAGGAAGAATAGGAGATTTTTTCATTTTATTTCATAACCATCCTATTGACAGTTTTTTTTAAATCCTGGGTTACAAAGAATTATTACAAAGAATAAAACAGTAAAAGTCCCTAAAATAGAAGTATAGTGCAAGCTGATTCTGCACTAAAGCATCAGTAACAGCGTTCCATTATCTTTTCTTAAGACCTAGACACTCATCTTCTGCAAATTTTGCTTCAAAATGTAGAACAAATGTGGATCAATTAAACCTGCTTGAGCCAGCAAAGCAGTTTCTCCATTGTGACCCTCAGCAAGCAAATTTCAGCAAAGGTTAGTAAAATCTAGTAGGCCTGATAGGATCCGCTTCAGACGTGTGGCATGTAGCTTATCTTTATTATAAATGAAAAGGATGTCTGGAAATACATTTATGTTTTATCAGCCATCTGTTTCATTTTCTGTTTGACTTTACATAAATATCTGTCCGTAAAAAGTAGTGGTGAGCAATAGCAAAGAAAAAAATATTTAACTATTAAAGGCAAATCTACTAATAGAGAAGTAGGAAATTAAATGCTAAAAGTTGTTGAACTCTAAAAATATTTATTTTCACTCAACACACTATTTTAAGCATTTTCTATTTTCTGTATATTTTTAGAAAATCATTCAATTCTTTTAAGTGAAATCTGAGATGCACTGCAATTTTCCTGAGCATACCCTAGTTTCATATTATTTGTGTTCATAATGAAAGCTTATTTATAGGTATTTCAGCTTAAAGTATGAAGACAACTCAAAGTTTCAAAACAAAGGGCAATTCCAGATCCAGAGCACTTACACTGTGAGGGTCCTGACCCATGCAGCCTTCCATTTTAATTTTGTTAATCATTTCCCAAACATGCACATAAAAGTTCCAAATGAAACAACTGTGTATGCTTCTATGGATAAAGGAAAGAATGACATAAAGGTTCAGTAACAGGAAAAACTTCCCTAGAACCACACAAGTGATGACTTTGGAAATACAGCGCAAAGCCAGAATGTCAGCTACCTACCACACGGAGGATAATTTTACATATATTAGTAAGTTTTATTTCTCCTTCTCAAAGGATGACTTCCAGGTGTACTCAACCTAATCAGTCCCAAAAAATAATCTAAAATAGTTTCTGGTATTGCCTTATGTGAAAATGTATCACTTCTGAGAAAAACTAAACAGAAACTCAAGAAGAAAACCATATTCAAAGTTCTGAGAAGCGTATACAGTTCACAAAAATGAAGTGATTTGTTTTACCCATTGAATCAAGGATGTTGCAGTAAACTAACTACACCAATGCACATATTAGAACACGCACTTAAGATACACCACCTACTCTGCCATAAATACTGATATATCCTCTACTACCCAGTACTGAATATCAGGTGGACAGAGACAAGCTACCCTGCACATACCGGAGACTGGTTATGTGCGTAATACCCTTACGGTTGAGTAGCTGACATGATGAAGCTTGTATTTTAATGTACTTCACAGAGCTTCTACCGGGTCTATTGCCTTTCTGCTGCTCTATTTACAACCTACAAACATGCCATTTCACTCCAAAGACTGATGTTAAAGTATCTGCATGTCAAGTTACTGCTCTGCAACAAATAGAATAAGCTAAAAGCAGCTTTTAGAGATAATAAAAGGTTTTAAATAATGTCACAAAAGTTATTATTTCAGTATCCTAAATGTTAATCATAATTCCTAAATAAATCAGCAGCTCTGAATCCTTAGCCAGCAGGTTATAATTAATACAAAAGGTTTTAAGGTATTTTTATATTAAAAGTTTGAAAGGCAATAGGAAGCCAATAAATGATTTATGAACGTCCAGTAAGTGATTAGTTACATTTTAAAGAGCCAACATGGTTCAATAGGCTGCTCATGATATTTTTCATACTATTATTTGTAGAATACAACAGTAAATGCTATTCACAGTTGCCATTAAACAACTAGCACTTTATTACCTAATTCTAATCAACAAAACACTATTCCTGATTAAAATGACCAGAAATTCAAATTTCCAAGCATGCACATTTTCCCATGAAATCTGTCCACATTATGAAAGAATCGTGCTTGGTGAGAACCAGGCATATGTTGAACAACATACAACAGCCCTAAAAAAAAAAAAAAAAAAAGTATCTGCCCTCTGACATCGAACTTTGATCATTCTGGTCAGAAACAAATACTGGTGGTGATGGCAGTAACTACTCTAATATGAAGGATGTTATACTTCAGCTCTGAACAAGCTTTAGGAGGTGTTAAACTGAAAAATAACAACTTGGGCGACACTACAGTTCTCCAAGGAAACCCAGACTTTCTGGAAATGATTCTTCCTTTTACATATAATCATAAAGCAGAGATACAATAGTACTTTTCCTATAGTGAATAATACTCAGAGCATTTTCCATTGAGCATTTACGAAATACATTATGCTGAAAGTTTACTGGAAATATATTTTAAAATGCATCTCTACATGCTGAAAAATTTAAGGCTTTTATCTCTAAAGCAAAACAGATAAAGCTTCTCAACCTTTTCTACCCAGTAGCCACTCTTTGTGAGGGTATTGCACATGGCAATTATTCTCTACATTTATGAATGTGACTTGCTGAGTTAAGCTACAATAACATTTCTTCTGACAGCTTTAACAGCAACGAGAAAAATAATAAAAGTGGAGTCATACCAAGGTTATTCTATTGCTGCCTTGGTAAGCCCTAACAGCTGCACGGACACATCCTAGAGAGCTATTTGTAGGGGAGAAAGACCCCCAAATTGGAAACCATGGAAGGAATAGAATGACAAAAATCCCTTCCTATCCAAGTGAGTGAAGAGACCAAAAGGGGAGTGGGGGGGAATCCTTATTATTTAGTTATAATAGCTGAAGTCTACTCAAAGCAGACAGTTTTATTTTGCTCTTCCAACAATTCAGAAGGAAAAATAGTGATGAAAGAAGTCTGATTTTCAGACATCTGTTATCCTTGAACTGATACACAAGAAGCCATGTCTCATCAGACAAAAAAACCCCCACGCTTTTCTCAGCATATCAAAGAAAATTAAATATCTTTCTAGTACATTACCCCATGATTTCATTAGGGGAGAACCAAGCCTATTTTTCACAGTAGTTTCTAACAATTATATATAGACATTGATGGGGGGGACTACAGAGAGTGAACAAGACAGCTATCAGAACAATGCACTTCAAGTTTCAAGCTAAAAACAGCAGGGTGGTTTTTGGTTGGGTTTTATTTTGGGGTTTGGTTTGTCTGGGGGGTTTTGGTTGTTTTGGGTTTGGGGTTTTTTACAACAATAGCTAGATGAGCAGTTAAAAATCTCAAGGCTGCAAATAAATTTTAACCTAAAAAAACTTTAAAAGTCAGACTCAGCTGATTTAGACATAAGTGTACATCACTGTGTCACATCCTCTGATGTGTCTGACATATTCCTTAATAGTCACACCACCTTTAAGCCATAAATATCCCAAAACTATTCTATCATTTAAGAATTTTGTTTGCATGGAGTAATATACAACTAGAACTTTATTTTGCATCTACCTACATAAACCAAAGATCAGCAGCTACATTCAGAGAACACAGTACTCAAGATTCATGCAACACCTGCCATATTTTAATGGATTTCACAATTACCAGAAAACTGGATGTGGCCTAGTATATAACATTACATTTCACACCTCAAACGAATGGTAATAAGTAACCAAATACTATACAGTAAAATAAACAACTATTTAGTTCAGTCAAATCAGTGCAATCTCATTTTATTTGCAATTTAAAAGTAGCTACTTAAAACATTTTCCAGATCACAACTTGTCCCCAAGGAACGTTTGTCTACCAAATGAAGAAATACTATATTTCAGTCACTTTTCCACCAACACTTAACAATCACATTTAAATTGTTTTTTCTATTTTAAAAATTCACCTCTTGATAAGGATAGTGTACTGGTGCATGTCCTAAACCAACTTTTGCATTTAACTGAAGTTCTAATATGCTATTCTTCACTCATTCCAAGACTGCAATTTTGAATACAAAAATCACATAAAGCTTTTTCACTTTTAAGCTTCTTACTCTGAAGTTCATCAGAAATATTACATTGCTAGCATTCAAATTAGCAGGGGTGAAGTGACTTAAGAGTAATGCAAAAAAAAAAAATCACTTCAGGGCTGAAGGGGTGCCTTCACCGAAACTATCTTTTCCTGTTTGCATAAATTTCAGAGTCCAATGACTTGGACAGTATCTTTCAACACACTGATGAAACAAGCCACTTTCAATATAATTGTACCTATGGACCAACCACAAATTAGACTACAATGTTACAAGCAGTATTTAAGCAGAGTAGAAACAGTAGCTTTACAGATGATCAGATTAGAGTGAAAAGGAAAAAAAGTCATCCTGAAGGGTGTAATGAATGACAAACATTCAGTTAGTGTCATGTTTTGGGGGAAATAGGATTAAGATGAATGAAAAGATAAAAGAAAGAATGCCATTGAAGAGAGACATGGCAGAGAAGTTAGAAGAGCTAGTTGTGAAAAGGAGATGAAGTGACTAAGGAAGATTGCTGATGTAAACAGTCAGCTAGCATAGGGGTAAATCGGAAGCAGAAAGGTCTCTGCTTGTCCAAGAACCTTATCTGGCTACCCCTCTTGGCCACAGTTACACTGTGTGTGCTTGAAAATTAAAGATATATTGGAAATAATTGAAAAATTCAGAAGGAATGGCAGGAGGGAGTTTTAGTACAACTGTAGGTGTAATTTGTTAACATATGCCTCACCATTTTTTACATAACTGCCCATACTGTTTTTCAGGTGGCACACAACCTTCTTCCTACTACATCTTAATGCAGACTGAGATGCAGGAAATGCTACCAATCAAAATCCCATGTTTGCTTGGATTTTTTTTTTAAATAAACTATTCAGCATATAATGATAAACTAGTTTACGTATTAAATTAAGATCTTTCTTTAAAACTGATAGAGAACACATACTGTCTATCCTGAGAAAGCAATCTTCCAAGAAACCCAAAAATATTAATTCCAACAACAGCTGCTTTTTTTTTTTTTGTTTTGTTAATCCTTCTCCTTACCACAAGAAGGCCATATCAAAGTATTTATGAAAAGACTCTCCTTTGCTACTTCAAGATTTCTATGGGATAAACAAAAAAACTAGCAGTCTTTTAATATAAACCAAATTAACAATAGCCCAATTAGTTTCAGGGTCACTGAAGTCACACTAAAAGCAGAGATAAGCAGAATTAAAAAAAAAAAAATATGAGAACAGAACACTTGAAAGATGTTTGGCAACAACATTTCTTATACAGACCTGGCACTACAACTTGTCAACAGTGAATGAAATGACAAGGGCACTGCAAGAAAAAACACCACAGGGTTGATGCTGAATACACACTTAAAATGAATGGTAATCGAACAATAAAAAGCCGTATGAGCTCTGTACACTTTGGAAACCAAATGTGAAAGGCAGGAACACCAAGAAGATCTCTAAGCTATTGTAACTATTCCTAGAGGCAGGGTCATCTCATTGTTCAATTGTAAGATAACATACATCACAGCACTGCGTAACCAATATTAGCAGTCCCAGTAAGAAAGATGAAGACTTTGTTTTGGTACAGGACAGAAATCCTAATTCCAGAAATAGATCGGGGCAGGGGAACACAGACAGGACACGAGGGGACATGGACACACAAATGGGAAGGACGTCAGTGATACCAATTAACTATTAGGACCTACAGCTTTCAGAATTTTAGGAGAATCCAAAGCTTATCAGAACAGCTAACAAAGCAAGATTATTACTCAGGCAGACAGAGCAATAGGCTGTTTGCTTCAAGTCACTGAGTGCATTCAAAACAAACCCTACAGGTGAAAAAATTTCCAGCCTCAGTAGAAATGAATTCTGAAGCAATAGTTAACCTAGCTACCCCAAACTAGACTACTAATGCTTAGAAGTGTGATCATTCAAATGTTATTTTTATTATATATATGATAATTTATATTTGTGTATAGGTATAATAAAAATATGTATATTTACAATACATATTTCAAGGCTCTGATAGAGATTATATTTTCCTTTTTACTTTTCAAATACACACCTATATATTAAAGTTTTTTTACTTTAAATCAGGGGAAGAAAACAACAGGAAACATCCCACCAACCCATTTCACATTGTAATTACTCATGTATATACTTCTATAACTTCAGTGAGAATATAATTCAGTGCTAACTGTATTCAGTGCTGCTGCTACTCAAATAAGGGCACAAAGGGCAATAAAAGCACGCATTAGGTACAGGGATCAATAAAAAAGTATACAAAATATTTACATGACTGTGTACCGTGTTTGTTTTTGGCTAAGAAAGCTTCTGTTCATAGATGACTTTTTTAGCAAATTAAAAACGGCATTCCTTCAGTAGAAATCCTGTGTTAACATTCCCATGCCAAAGGGACTTTGTAAGATCATCCAAAGAGAGAAATACTTATGAGAAAAATTTAAGGCAACATGCACTTTTTCCATAAGTAACTTCAAGTGATACAATTGTGCATGATAGACAAACAGATGTACAATTTCTACTTGGATAGACAAATGCAAAATAAAATCACATACACTTGGCACTGATTAAAACAACACCCTCCAGTCAAGATATTCTTGCAATCATAGAGTACTGCATCACAAAACAAATTCACTTTCCCAGTCTTTTCACTTGATTCTAGAGGAAACACTTGGTGTTCCAGAAAAGTGTGAAACCTGATCAAACTATTTCTGTGGCAGACTGTTCACTGCACATTTAAAATGGTAAAGTGGTTAAAAAAGGTTAAAAAAGAAATGGAAGCCTTCAGTTTTCAAGCCACTTTTACAAGGAGCTGAATTATTACCAAAAGCCTCAGGGTGAAAGAGATTTTTCTGGAGAGGTGTTCTTATAAGAGGTGCCAGCAGTAATAACTTACATGCTGCTAAAGGGAACTCACATACAAAAAACTTAAATCCATTAAATAAAATAAATCTCACAAGCATTCACATTGCAGAAAGGAGGTTTATTAAATTTAATGAGACTTAAGATTTTAAAGAACATTTCTTTTTTAGTGGATTATTTGCTTTTCTTATTAATCATTAACTGTTCTAACATCTAAGTATTTTGATAAAGTCTTACATTTATACTCACCTGATTCATTTTGAATTCCTGTTGTGTTCTGAAAAGATACACACAACAAAGAAACTCCTTTGATTACATGAGCCCTAAAAAGAAAAACAGACAATTGTAACACGTACCTACCTACAAATTTACACTGAATTGAAAGTACACACAGACCTGTAGTTTCTCTTCCTACAGCATTTGTCACAAAGCAGCATATTGCTTTATTAAAAAAAAAAAAAAAAAATCGGCTCCAAGCTATAGTTTTGTTATTATAGCTCAAATTTATATGAATAATTTCAAAATGGATCTGTCATTAATCTTTCTCCCAGTTTTAATGGATGATGCAACAGAAATGTGCTCAAGTAGGATTGTTTCATTTGCTTTTTAAAACAAGTTAGCTTGTTTGAGTTTGAGTAGTTAAAGAACTTTGGGAGTCAGATCTCTTCAAATTTAATATCAAAGCACTATGAAAGACCTTAAGTGGTTTTCAAATTAACAAAATGCACACACTTGAGTCTTGTCTCTCCTGTATTAGAAACAGGAAATTCTTCCTTAAAGTTGGGTTCTTTATGAAGGTATTTTATTACACTAACGCATTTGGCATTCGTGTTTAACAGAAGCCTGAGATTTCAAAAAGTTTTGTAGTTCATCTAGGCATCAAACTTGGAAATTCATGATTTAAGACAAAACTAATCTGAACGATGCCATATCTAATCTAGTCTAGTACAGTGACAATAGTCTAGTACATCAACTCACTTGATTTCTTTAACAAAAAAAAAAAAAAACATACAAAAAAGCATTATTGCTAGATAACACTATCCTTCCTGGTATCATACAGAATTTTCAATAAATGAACAATACCCTGTTTTGGAGGTTAACTGGTACTTAACCACTTAAAGCACTTTATTCAAGTACTGCTATTTCTTCCCTCTCTTTAGTTTTCTTATTATAACAATGATTAACTGATTTTTACTAAGTACTTCATATAAATACTAACTTTTAATTTAAAATACAATCAAAATATAGTCCAAATATATTTCATATAATCCTTCACATCTTTGCACTGTATAAATTCTTAGTGGTGCATAACAACAGTGAATACTGCCAAGCTTCATACAGTTGTTGCATTGCTTAAGAAATTTGTAAGAAAAGGAAAAACTTCCTTTGAAAGAATATTTCTATTATATACGGCTCTTCCAGGATTAACTCCTTTTGTTCTGATATTTTCCTTCTACATTAGCATTTAGAAAAACAGATGAAACATCTGTATTTCAGCTCCAGTTCTGCAACTGGTTCTGTGGGATTTACAGTTTCCCAGCAAAAATCAGTCACAGGGTAAGGAGCTCCATCTGAACACGAGCTTTTAAACATCTGAAGGAAAAGCATTCCTTTTGGAATGTATGATTATAACTGCTAACTTATTTCAGTATGTCTGTCCAATACACATCAATTTCTAGGAATGTTACAGGCCAACCATCTGATTTTCTAAATTTTTGCTAACACTGATGGAGAACATGGCTAACACTAAGAAACTACGGAGCAAGCAGGGAATGCTCCCCAGGTTTCATTACTAGTTAATCACTCCTGAGATTAAGTCTTGCCATGACAATAATGTCCCTTTGGCTCTAAATTTCTCATGCATTAGCATGCAGTTGTTTCTCACACATCTTCCACATACCGTTTACTTCCCTCAGCCTTGATATCTTAACTCATTTCCCACCCTGACAAATATGATTTCTACTTCAGACATTTTTACTCAAATGCTTTAGGCTAATGGTTTCTGAAATTTGATCCATAGACTGCCTGTCATCTGCTGAAAGGCACCTTTGCACATGGAAATGCTGATTAAAGAAAAGGCAAAAACTGGAGTCACTATAAACTTCTGTACTTGAGATGAGACCTGAATAACAGAGAAAAATCCAGTGCTCTTATTCATTGTTCTTTGGGACAATACCCACACAATGTCAATTTATAAATGAAATATTTTGGATAGCAAGAGAGGTATCAAAACATTTCCTAGTGTGAAAAACAACTTATCTTTAGTAACAAATGTCTTATTCTTCTATACTTGGCTACAAAACAAAACATGATTACTCACGTAAAGACAACAAAAGCAAGAACCTTTTACTGACATGATTTTAGAGCACAGCCTGATGAGCTACTATGGGTGTAGCACAGGAGTTTAAGTGGTTATTGTCTCCAACTGCCTATCTCTACATTTTCTCCTCTTTCTCACTGAAGATTATCAGTCCCTCAATGACAAGGGCTTAACTGTTCACATAACCATTTTCTGTCATGGTTCTGGAAAGTGATTTAGAAAACCTACTGTAAGAAGTGCACATATGTTACACTGTGATAAATGACAGTCATTATGTGTATATATGCACCATTTTCAACACTGAATAAAAGAGCATTTGACTCAGAACTCTAGATATGTAAAGAACATATGGATTTAAAGCATTGTCTTACAGAAGCAAACATTCAACACCATCACTACTCAGCCCCTAAACATAAAGAAATTGATATTTGCTTATTGTCTCTCAAATAAGTGATGGGTTGAAGGGCACAATGCTAACAGAAAGCCCTGTCAAGCTGAAAACTTCCTCTAAGCTGAGCTTTCTTACCCGAGTTGTTAAATAAATTAGTCAAAAATTTGAAAAGCAGTCAAAAACTTCTTTTAACATTTTGTTCCATTTCCGCAGTAAAAATACACTTTTCTTGTATTTCATATACTAATTCAAAATTATGTTGCTTGGAATTAATATTGTTTTCAAAGAATTTTCAAAACAAAAAATAAACCTGGTATTTTTACAAATTTTATAAATGCTTTATTCAGCTTTTATAGAACTGGTTATATCCAAACCTCTCAATGGTATTTCTTAGAAGATGACAAATCTCAACACATTGATGTATTTAAACATCCACATAACATAGTTTAGAGGTAGAGTCCTAACAGACTGCGCTACTCTATACTCTTTCACCTGCAAGTTACCAGAGGAACCAGTTGACCATAAAATATAATTAGATGAGAAATTAAGCAACAGTAAACCAAAAGCTTCAACAAGTATTTATAAAGCTATTAACTTAACACCCATATTCATCTTAACATTTTATACCTGCAGTTCTGACAAGTTGCATGTATGAGCCCTCTCACTGAAAAAATGACTGAAAATATTTCCCCACTTTTTCCTTCCTCCATGTTATCTATTTTGTTAACAATTAAGCCAACTAAATGGAAAGAAACATTAATTGAACTGGGGAAAAAAAAGATAAAATTAAGACTATATACAGACATGTACAATCACTAGAAAATGAAAAATAACGTAAGAACAGAAGACAAAGTAACTGTACCACTAAATTTGGGTTTGAACTTTTAGTACACAAAGTTCAACAAAAACAAGCAATTATGAAACAACTGCTGCATAAATACTAGTTCCCCTTATGATCAATGACTACCAACAATGTATTTACTCTCATCGCTGCAAGCAGAAACAGGCTCTCATTTCATACGCTAATGACTTTTTAGCTACACAGTCAAGTCCGATGCAAGATTTGTCAGGAAAGCCCCAAAGAAAATGATTGGTCATCAGGGGAACTGTGATATATTCAGTTTAAAGACCACCACATTTAAATCAGTTTTAAAGTTATCAATAGTCTACAACTGCGTTAGTACTTTGAAAAACTCATGTTGGCAGCTCCATCAGAGCTTTTGATTCAACCTTTCCTCCAAACTCAACAGCAACATATACTTGCGTCTGTCAAAACCCTGAATTTTGTTAGTAACATCTACCACAGTAAACTTTGAAGATTCACTGAAGTCCCTAAGAAAAGATAAAGAAAGATTCTAAGTGAAAAATGATGCACATTCACCAGTACAGTAACCTGATTTTTTAAAATTAATTTCCAGAAAGCATTCCCAAATCATATTTATTTCAAACCACTACCTACTACTGTATCTCATGAGTACAAAAATACTATGCACTTTCTCAAGACTTTAAAGCATCTGGGAAACAAACACAAGATAAAGAAGATCTACTGCATCATATAATCTTAGAGTTTCAGAAAAGTGCATTTAGAAAGGCTCACTGTTAGGCAACAAATTATATTTACTTAGATAAGAATATACCAGGCATTTGTATTTAAGGGAACACGGTGGTCACTCTAAAACAAAACACTTGAAACAAAAAATATTTTGACCTTATTTCTGAATTTGACGCTTAAGAATTTTAAATATTCCCTTACAAAAAATGTAACTTTCTGGGAATAAAGTTTGCAAACAAGAGCAAGTAACTTTATATAAAACCAACATTAGATAGAGCCTTTTTCAAACTAAATCACATGGTACTCCTAGAAAGCATTCCTAGGTTTTACTAAATAGTCTATCTTCTGATTTTATAAGCCATATTTATGATTTCTGTATGTATTTTTTTAAAAAAATCCCAGAATCAAAAAGCACTTTGAAAGATAATGTTGCTTCCAATTCAGAGAAAGGAAAAAACAGGCATAAGTGTATCAATCCTATTTTAGAAGCTGAAAAAGAGATATGCATTACATCACTGCTCCGGTAAAAACATGTTCATTATAGAATCAGGAACAAAACCTCAAAGTCTCAACAATCTGCTTTCCTAACCACAAGGGGTTCAGGCTGGGATACTGCAGGGCTCTTTGTTTTAGTTTTTAGTTATAGCACATGATTTTGTAAATTTTGATTTATTTTTTTTAACATCAGGACATTTACGTTTTCTCAATTCAATACTGAAATACTCTAATCCACAAATTTTCAATGTATTTGGTGAAACAAAGCTTGCCCTCCACCAAAAAATTAAGTTTGCGTTAACTCTGAAAGATTAAAATATGTATTTGATAGAAACAACAAGCGCTATCTATGGGCACTTAATTGCAGCGACATTTTCAGTTACCCAAGACTGTCAGAATAAGAACGGAGAAAAAATGGGCAAACAATGACTTTCTGAACACTAAAATCTACTACCTATTGTCCATTAAGAAACAATGCTTTGCTTACTGCCATGTAACTAAATAAACTTTATATTTTAGAAAGGTTGAGTCAGATATCCAAGAAAATAAGCCAAGAAGTCACCAACACAAAAATAAAACCCGAGTTTATTAATTAAACAGCAACTAGTCAAGAGAAGTCGACAGAAAGTAACAAGTCTCTAACAACTGCCAATACACAGAAATACCGTTCCAATCATCAGACATAAATATTTCAATGTCCTTACTTTCAATTCTGCTTCCAAAGACAGTAAATTCAAGTGAAAATTTACTGAGACAAGTACATTGCCAATTTACTACTACGGGAAGAAGTCCATTTCAGTCATTTCTTTTTACAATACAGGACTCAGCCTCCCACTTTTGTCTACAGGCATGCTTTATATAGAGGCAGAGAAGAAATATTTTTCATCAAAGAATACAATCAGAGAAAAACCATATTGGTAAAATAAATTATTTCATTGCCAGGGGAAGGTGAGGGGGTGTCTTTATGTAGCATGTGAAAGGCCATGTATGATCCTGGTAACGAGTTCAACAGCAAATATACTGCAGTACTTAAAAAAGGTATGCCAATGCAGATATTCAACACGCATGAGTTTATGAACTCCAGCTGTTTATGAATACCTGATAAAAAACATACAAGTAGCAGTCTCCAATATCCACCAGTAAGCAAATGACTCTGCTTCAATACAGATCTCCTTTTTATATACTATTATTTGTTTACCCCTAGGGATCAAGGCTTTTCTGTAAAACTGTGAAATGGAGACATCACGGCACTGAAGGATGGACTTCAAGAGCCATTTTAGTTTTTACAGAAAAATAGCAGTTCACCTTGACTTTCTGCTTTAATTCTCTTCCATTTTCAAGCAAATATTCATGTCAAAAAATAAGGATGGGTTATACCATAAGGACATCTGTCATCTTCCACGCTACTCTGGAAGAAGGCTGTTCTTCAGATCCCCATACCTAACACCAAACAGGCACCAATTCAGGAATCTCCAAACACAATGCTTATCATGGCATTTCTACCCAAGATATTTTATTCTAAGTGATGACTTGCCTTTTATTTAACGGAACTAGGGTTTCAGTATAAGCGAAACTTGGCCTCATTTTTATGGTCTGTGACATGGGCAAGCAGGCTGTTGAGACACTTCTACTCTAGCAAATCCTGGGAGCTACATGCTTGAAAACCAACTGGTACAACTCCATGGTTCTCGTTGCTGTCTTTACGAGTCCAGTAGTTCTTTTGTTTCTTAAAAGTCACTCCCCCCATCTATCAATGATGCGGTTCTCTATATGAAGAGTGCCAATGCTATCACCATCACACGTTTCCACAGCTGGAAGAGCTGGAGGCCGCTTTGGTCTACACCAGGGAAAGCATACCTGAATTCTTAACATGCACATCATTTTTATTAAGATGTGGCAAGTGTCAAAAGACAACAACATAATAATTACATACCACACTGCTGTACATCTCCATTTCTCCTAATCTACTTAGTATGTGTGAATCAACTGAAGAAGACTTCGCATCTAAATAACATGCCCAAAGTCAAGAGCACAGACTGGGAACAGCAAACTGGAGTGGCATCAGAAATGCAAGCAGTCCTGTTGTTTTCAAGAGCTGTCCACTGTTGATTACTCAAACATAAAATAAGAAAAATATTTCTGTTGCCACTGCATGATCAGATAGCAGGTGCAACTACATCACCTTCCCTTCCTTCTTCAACAGTTGAAAACAATTTAAAGTATTCTTTACCATTTCAAAATGGAAATGTTGCAGCTTCATATGAACTTCAAACCACCTGAAGATTTCAGCTACCCGTTCATGAAACGGCTATCAGCAATGCTCTACACGTTGCCCTGGCTTCAAATATAAAATGTACTTGAACTCTTGAGCTGTCCTAAATGTCTTGCATGCAAATTTTCTCTCTCTCACCCCAAACATTCTTCCCCACAGTACCACTGCAGCATCATGAAGAAACCTCTGATTTATGCGACATGTCCTAGGAAGGACACCTCCAGAGAGGAAACCAATTCTGAAATTAATTCCTCCAAGCCCCCGCTCACCAGCTTGGCAGACACTTGATCTGCAGCAAGATGTGAAGGTGTGAGAATTGCCAAAACTTTGGAAGACTGCGTATTACGAACTGTTTGGAAGACAACTGTTGTCTCACAGCGCCAGGCTGGCAGCAGTTACAGAGCTCTGCTTCACCAGCTGACACCTCCGAGGCAGCCTTTTCGGCAGAAAAGCCCTCCAAAAGCAGCCCAGGGGATGGAGCCCCCTCCTCCAAACCGGCCCCTGTCGCCATCCTCCTCCCGCACCCTCGCTTTCTCTCCACAAGGCTCCCACGGGGCACGAGTCCCACCACCGCTCCTCGCACCTGCAGCCCTCACCGCCCACCCCGCGCCCACGGCCGCCACTTTCCCCCGTGGCCCCCGGCCCGGGGCGGCTCCACCCCCCCGAAGGAGGCTCCTCGGCGGGCCGGGCCGCCGCCGCCGCCGCCGTCCCCTCCTCCCGCGCCGGGCCCCCTCCCAGCCGCGCCCCCGGCTCTGCCCACCGCCCCCGTCCCGCCCTCCGGCGCGGCGGCGCCCGCGGGCAGCCCGGCGGAACCCGCCGCCTCCCCCTCACCCGCGCCGCTGCCGCCGCCCGGGGCCCGGCTGGGAGAGGCGCGAAGCGGCCTCAGCTCCGGCACCGTCCGGGCGCCATTTTGTCTCCAGCCTCGGAAGTGACGTTGGGGGGAGGCCAGCGGGCAGGTCCCCCCGCCGCGGGACCCCCTCCGGAGCGGGGCCGCCCCCTGCCCGCCGCCCCCCGGCTCCCGTTTCACCCCCAGTATTTCCCCGAAACCGCCTCGGCTCACCCCACCTGCCGGAGCCGGCCTCCGCACCGCCGCCTCCAGCCACCACCCTCATCCCAGACAATGAGCTGTGGAGAAGAGCAGGTTCTTTTTCCCTATTTCTTTTTTTTTTTTTTTTTATTATTATTTTTTTGTTGTTGTTGTTGTTTCTATTTTTCTTCTCTTGGTAGTAGTGCAGCTCTGCAGGGAGGTGGTTTCCTCGCCTCTGACTGAAAACGAAAAAAAAAAAAAAATGTGGCTGAGGGGAAATTACTTGAATAACTGGAGGTGATGAATGGAAAGATCCTCACCCCCTGAGGAGGCGCGGGCGATTTCTTTGCGCTAGCAGTCTGACAAGCTGAGGCCCATTTTTGCTACACATATATTGTGCTGTCCCGAGTAAACCAAATTTTTCTCACTGTAATTTCTAGGCAAGTACCTGAGGGAGGAAAAAAAAGACCCGTAGTCACCTGGGAGATGTTCGCATTCGTACTGCAGGGCATAACAGTGTGTCCCTTCTTTAGTTTGAAGAGTAAAATAATTTTCTCTCTCACTTGAATTCTGTATTCATAATACCGTCAAAGAAATGTAATCCTCCTGGTCTAGGACTATTTTTTTTTAGATAGAAATGTTGAGAATTTGCCATTTTTCCAAAGGAAAGCCTCCTGATTTAAACCCATACAAGATGGGAGGCATTAATACAGATATGGATTAGAGGTTTAACGTTCAGAAGCGTCTTACATTTCTTTGATGATTTTTCTTTCACATTTATTGTGCATGCACATCAAGGAGTTATTAAAACTATCAATAAGCACGGACACGCAAAGTACTTACGTAGTACCAGGATAGAGGAGTCCCATTGCATAAAGCTGGAAGATTTCCCTAACAAGTGGCCAAGCAAATCACCTGGCTACCCACTCTTGTCAAACTGAAGCTTTTTAAAACAATACACCAAATTTCCAACAAACATAGCTACAAAGATAACATTTCAAGCGTAATGAAAATGCACACTGTGAAGCCAGAAAATTTGAATGCCTCTGTAGTAATACTTACATTTGTCAAGCAACAGCAGACTAAAGCATAACAGGACACAGTGATCTTCCCACCCGGATTACTCAGGATATTTTTATATTTTTAAATGTCGCTTAAGAATACTAAAGTCAGTTTTGAAACCTCTAATTTTAGTAGTAACAAATCCTAATATAAATATGTTTAAACTAATTTAACCTATTAGGCTAAATTAATTTAATTCTAGTTTAGCTGTATTAACATTTCTTTTTATAAGAAAGACTAATTACACCTGTGTAAGTTTTGGAGTTAATTTAAGAAAAAACAAAGCTCCCATTTGATATGTTAGAGCCTTATACCTATAACAGAGAAAACAAAACCAGAACAAAATACATACCATATCAGCTAGAGTATGTACCTTTCTACCTTTAAGGTTATTAAGTATATGGTTTTCCAAAAGAATCACAAGTAATAGAAATTATTACTTTCCTCAACATAATTATAGCTCTAGAAGAAGTTTTCCGAAAAGCTCAAAACACACCCCTTTTTAAAAATAAATTAACCTATTATCTTCTTAATTTTAACCTTTTCCCCTGTATTATTATTGTATTTATTGTATTGTTACTTTGTATTGTTATTAAGATTGTAAACCAAGGCAAGGTAAGTATCAACAAGCCAGCCCACAGACTTACAGCACTAACTACAAAATATTGATATTTTTAATGCTTCATTTTATTTTGGCTTTATAATTTTATTACTACAGCATTAACATTTACTCACCTGTTTAGAACAGAAAGAAGTAAAGACTTTTGATCAATACTAATATTACTTCCCTATTCCTTCCTGGTCAAGTCTGTACTGGCTCTTCAGATGCTTAATTTGAAGACTCACCCTGCCACTGATCGATGGATGTAACTTTAAAAGTCATGGTGGAAGGCCAGAGTAATTTTAGGCTGAGGGATAGAGTATGAAGGCAACTTTATTTTCAGTGAGGCTGGTTGTCTTTCTTTTCCTATATTTTATATTTCCTTATGGATTTTGTTTGACTTTGTGTAGTGATAAAGTAGGAGGGTTGTGTAGCTGAGATAATTTTCTTGGTTTATACTTGGCTTAGTTGAAGATTTCAGAAATATTTTTTATATATTTTAGTATTAAATGCTTATACTTGAGTAGATTTTTAATGGATGGTTTTAAACGTTAAATTGTTTATACTTGCTCAAAAACATTTTGTTTCTTATTGTGTAGAAATATAATGTTAAACAAATACAAAATACTTTATAGCTGTATAATCACTTATGAAGACTACCTAACTGTGTTGCTTTTAACATTTACAACTTATTAACTACTTTTTGTTGTATGCTATTATGTTGTAGATGAAGAAGAGACTCTTGAAAAGATGGAGCTCTGAACTAAGTAGACACAGTCTTTTCTCAGGTAGCTCATTCTGTAGCTGTTCGATTTTGTACATGTAATTGCTACTAAAACAAGGTTATATTTTTATGATAATAAAAGCTAATATGTCAAAAAAAGCTCTTGTTAAAGTTCATAGTTTCTTGGAAGGCTTATGTTATAAACGTTAGAAGAATTTTGAATGCTAAGACAAACTATTTTGCTTCAGTTTTTCTTTTTTAGACTGTTAGCTAATAAGACTTTAACTATGTTACAAGAGAATAAGTAGAAACAAAGAATTGAAATGTTGAAGAGTTTGCTAACTGCTCTTTAAAACAGGATAGGCATTTGGATTTGTTTGCATTTATTATTTTGTCTACAAACTAAGGAACTCCCACTTGTAGCTGTTCTTTTTTTTCAGTCAAAATTCTCAGAGTAGAAAACAGCAATATTCTTTCAATATCTGTATGAACTGTACCTGCCATAAGCATATTACCTGTATGACTGCAAAAAGTGGAAAAAACTTGTCTGGTGCTGTCAGCTTATCGGTAACTTTGGTAACTAACAGTTGCAACATTATTATCAGAAGCAGTTGTGTGTAGTCCTGGTCTTCCCATGGGTACTCCTAAATCACTTGCCCAACAGTGTCAGCTATTTGTTAGTAAATATGCTGTTGTACCTGTATCCTATTTGCTTCCATTCTTATACAACTGGGTGCAGAGTCTTGTCTAGGCTTGATATTTGCAATTTTTAGTTTGAAACATCCCCAAAGACCTTTCAAAGAACAAAGGGATACTCAGTACATAAAGAAATCACTTCTGACCAATAGTCTTCCTTTTAAACTGTAAGCATCGCTACTATATATATATATAAAAAGTAAAAGGTTCTCATTTAGCATTGTATAGTATAGAATTCCTATTTGTATCAGAGCAGATTCTTTTTCTTTCCAAAATTTAGGACAACAGAAATAATAAGAAAAGATAAAGAATGGAAGAAAAGTAAGAGGAAAGAGGTAGAGTACTTCTGCCTGCTAGAAATCTTATCAAAATCTTCCAGAACACTGCAGTGAGTCTGTCTGCCCACAAGTCAGCCTCTGCATTATAACAATGAATTACTAATAAAAATATGTATGGCAACAAGCCAATTACCTATGATCTAGATCTCCTTAGGATAAAGATGAGAATGCCTGTGATGAATACTAGCTTGTGGGTGTAATAGTAAGTAGTAACCTGACAAAGTTAGTACAGGAACTTCTACTGTACAGAATAGAATGAATGAATGAATGCACAAGGGGTGCAAATAAGCCACACTGCAACTATAACAGTATCTATGCCAAATGCTTGGTGGATCTGTTACAAGGGTATCCTTGATTAATAATATGTTAGTTCTGTGTGATAACAAATCACTTGGAAAATACACACTTCGCTTTTGGAATTGCTTGAAATAACTTGAGTGGTGGTGTTAAGCTGTGTGACAGTAATACTGACCTCTCTATGTGTCACTGGGACTCATTAAACCAAAAGAGGGTAAGCAAGAAGAAGTAAAATTGCTTTGTAGAGTGACTTGTAATGGATTAAATTCTATAATCATCTTCACAAATTTCTGCTGCCTTTTGAGAAACAAGAATAGGGAATAATGTGATACCCACAAACTTTCACTTTATCTGTGAAAGAAGGCTTAAGGATTTGGAGAATCTTGAGGCATAAGGTGTGATTTCTCTGCTCAATATTACATATATTGAATTACAGGGATTCCAATTATTCCACCTCAGGAACCTCACTGATAGTTTCCCAGTCTGTGCATTTTTTGGTTTATCCTATCACTCTTACACTAAGCAGCTGTGCTTTGCTCAAGTGTTAATAGGCACTATTGTTTTCCAACTAGCTATCACTTAGCCAGATTCTATAGCTTTAGTCTGCATGCTTTGAGTGTGAGTAAAATATCTCTGTACCTTCAGTACAATTTTTTCCCATATGCTTCTAATGTAGTGAGACCCATAATCCTGTAATAAAGTATGTTTTTCCCTGTTTCCTTGTTGATTTTTCCAAGTTCCAAATCATTTACACTTTTCTATGATGCTGTTAAAATATAGATTTTAAAAGTGAAAGGTGGACCAGAAAGGCATTGATATTTAACACCCTTTCTTTTAAAGAAATGCAGGAGCTATGTAAGGTCGTTGAATCTGGCATATGTCCTTCTGACTGAAAATGTATTAATTTCTTTCACTAATAACTACTGCTTTTCAAAGATAGAATGTTAGGTGTTATTTCAGTACTTAACTTGAAACAAAACACTACCAAAGGGAAAACTTGGATGAGACTCATTCCTGCTATGCTGTAAGGCCTTACTAACATTTGAAAGGAGGCTGGGGATCTGTGTAGTATGCACTGGTTTTAAAGATATAGTAGGCTCCTACAGGACAGAATCTTTGTTGAAGTTCAAAGCTACAGTTCTTTCTGGAAATAATTAGTATTTATCTCAACTGTGAT